AAGTTCTTGAGCACCTTCAGTGGCAGATGGAAGTCCCTAAGTCTTCTGAGGAAGAAGAGACGCTGACGGGCTTTCTTAACCAGGGTGTTGATGTGGCAGGACCATGACAGGTCCTGAGTGATGTGGACACCCAGGTATCGGAAACTGTCCACTCTCTCCACTGGCGTGCCACTGATGATGAGGGGTTTGTAATTCCTCGCCTGCTTTGTGGTGAAGTCCACGATCACGATTCTGTGATGGCAGCAGATCTTCTCTGGTCTTATCACAGTGAATCGAAACATCATCATTAACAAACTGCGTGCGACTGCCACCTCATTCACCTGCAGACTGACAGCAGACTGACTGCAGACTGACAGCAGACTGACAGCAGACTGACAGCAGACTGACAGCAGACTGACTCGTTGCTGTTTCTTCTCTGTCTCGAGGCACTAAAGTTGCGAGAGGTCACAGATCTCATCCTCAAAATTTCAAAGGCAGCTAGACTGCAAGTCCACTGCACAGAGTTACAATAACTCTGGTCGTGCTGCAGTCACCTGACTGTAGTAACAAACCAACAGGGTGCTCAGTTTAACTCGACTCTCTTTCAGATGATGCGTTTTGTCAGGATTGAATGAAGCCCAGTTTTTCTTCTGTAGCTCCATTTACAGCTGCAAATATCCTTACATGCTGACAACAGGCACGTGTGATGTGCTTGGGTTTCACTGCAATGCAACATAGAACTGCTAGAGTTGCTCAACATCATGTTTCATGAACACTCCTGAAGAATCACTGCACTTCATAATTGTCAAAAGGCAGCAGGGAAGTTTTTAGAGCAGCAGAACGGAGAACGCAGAGGAGGAGAGAGCAAAACAGAGTGAGGTGGAACAGCCGCTAATGAAGAAATCACTCCAGACGGGGAGAAGAGAGAACCGAGGCAGACAGGGTGAAAGCCTGTCGTCAATTATCTTGATGTCTTGATGGCAACAAAGGCAAGATAACCAGGCACAAGTACAGTGAACGGCATGGGTGAAAATGAAAGCCGTGCCAAGAGAAATTACACAGGAAGACATCAGAACATCTCTTGGTGCACTTATCTCTACCTGGACTCAAAACCAGGTGAGGATGTAGTCTAGATAACAGCTCCTTTCAAAAAGCAAGAACAGAGAAAAACAAAGGATCTGCTTAAATCCACCAGAACCTTTCATCTTTTGTCTGACTGTATTGATCTGGTCAGTTGAAATGACTATTAAGACACTCATCTCAGTACACACTAATCGTCCATTAATTAATCAATATCTAATAATAATGGATTGCATTTATATAGCGCTTTTCGGGACCCCTCAAAGCGCTTTACAATGCCACTATTCATTCAGTCTCACATTCACACACTGGTGGAGGCAGCTACGGTTGTAGCCACAGCTGCCCTGGGACAGACTGACAGAAGCGAGGCTGCCATATCGCGCCATCGGCCCCTCTGGCCAACACCAGTAGGCGGTAGGTTAAGTGTCTTGCCCAAGGACACAACGACCAGGACCAGGGGATCGAACCGGCGACCTTCCGGTTACAGATGCGATTCCCAACCCCCTGAGCCACAGTTGCCCTAAGCCTCAGCATGGCCTGACATTAATCAACACTTTTCAGAGGAACTCCCTGAAAAGTGAAAAAACAGAGAGCTGAACTCAGCAGACTGTAGAGCACATTATACCCGACGCCGTTCAGAGCATGCAGTGAGGGGAATAATGTTCGCTCACTAACAAAGTAATGAGCGGCCTCTGATTACAAATGTATTTTTAATTTAAAGGAGAGAGAGTGAATATCAACCCCCATGTCACCGAGTAAAAGAAGCATTTCAGCCCCTACAGTTGGTCCTAATCGAGCTCTTTGGCGTCAGCTCGACCTGCTGTGTTTGGAGGAAGAGGAAACGAATGATGTGACTCATACAACATCATCGTGGTTGGGGCTGTTTTTCTTAGACGCGTGACATAAAATGTTGGACCTGAGCCTCCCTCAGCCACAATACTGAAGATTGGTTATGGACGTGTTACCTGAGTCACTGACTCAGTGCTTTGTTTTTACGACGTTTTGAAGTCTTATTTTCTGTACCTTGTATTTCCTAGTTTCTAAGTTAGTATTTGATCCTGTTCATGTCTTCCTCTTCCCTTGTCTCGTCTTTTTGATTAGTGCCGGCTGTGTTTCCCAGATGTTTCCCCTCTTGTATTTAGGGTCTGATTCTTCCTCGTTCCAGGCCGTGTGTTCTGCCTGTTTAGTTTTATTCTCAGCTTAGTTAGTTTTGTATTTCTGACGTTAGTTTTTGAGTTTGATTTTGCCTCCATGAGTCTGCGTTTTGCGTCCATTCCTGCTGCCACACACAGCAAACTTGACAGGATGAGTCTGTTAGTATGACAGTGACCTAAAACTTACCACCAGGGCAACAAAGGAGTGGCTAAAGAAGAAGCACATTGAGGTCATGGCCTGGCATGCCTCAGGCCCACACATAATCTGTGCAGGGAACTGAAGCTCGGAGAGTTTCTGTAAGGAGGAGTGAGCCAAAGCTGGTGAGCAAAAACATGTCATCGTATTGTCTTTGGCTTTTTTATAAGATCGAATGATGACATGTTAACACCGGTTCAAGCAAATCAAGCTAGCAAAGTGCGAAGACAACCTTGGAGACCTCTGCTACCGACCCGTTTATAACGTGACTGAAGTCTGTGTGTTGTGAAGGAGAAGAGAAGAAATGAGGGGTGACTCCAGAATTCAGCATATTGCTGTACGTTTACACCTAAACACAAGATCATGGGTCGTGTTCGGTCCCAGCTCAGCTCAATAATCGCCCTTTTCTTACATTAGCACTCTGCTCTCTTTGCCCCGACTCCAGCACCAAACCAGCCTCTTTACATGTTTTATTCATTAAACATAATAATGAATTCAGAATAGAGAAACTAACACATTAATTAGCCTATTCATACCCTCCACTGACAGTGCCACAAAATAATAATCTATAAATATTTTTGCTCATCAAATGTGAAGCGAGAGGATCGCGAGGATGTTACGAAATTACTAAGTAATAAAAGACACGACGTGTGTGGGGGTTTGTGTGATAGAGGACAAAGATGCTCTTCATGCATGCAGCGCTCTCGAGTACCTGAGAAGTGGCCTCGTTCGTGGGTTGGTGTTGTGTGTCTAATGGGGAGAAGTCATTACACCTCACTGAATGTCAAGATCAGGTCTGAATGTACGAGCCAACCAGGGCAGCCGACAGCCCACGCACCGAGTCCACGAGAGGGTCCTGACATGGAGCACTGCTATTATCCACTCTGTCAATGATGGGAAGACCTACAGTCAGTGAGGGAGCATTAACATAGAGTGTGTGCTACACCATGCAAACACATATTTATGAGCAAAAATTCATTTCTGAATCTCGCTGAAGACGAAGAAACCTGGTGGATTTCAACTGGTTGGGGACAAAAAGTGCACGACTAAAGCATATCTGGATGATTTTGACGTCAGTGAGGAGTCAGTCGGGCTGATTCACTCGATGTTTTTGGTCTTCTGTATGTGAAGTGCTGCCTCTGACAGATGATGGGCTTTACTGTGGATCACGAGCACTGATCTTTCTCCATCCCCGTCTCTTCCCATCATTCTGCTATAATTTAATCTTGTTTTAGCTGATAAAAAACTGTGTCTGCTGTTTTCTAGGAACATGTGATCTGGCCTTCAATCTTGCTGGTCTGCATCTTAAAGTAACTCATCTGTATTTACAATCCTGAAACATCCTCTGTGGATTCAGGATGTTGTCAAGAGAACTGTTTCTTACAAATATTCACGAACGTTCAACAGTATATATATATTTAAAAAGCCCCCTCTCGCCCCTGCAGGCGGTTTTTACCCATCAAGCTCAGCTTGATGGTCCCGCGCAGTATCTCTGCTGGTCCTAGGACTGCGCTCTGCCGAACAGAGATCTCCGATGTTGTTGGAGACTGGGGAGCGTGCTTTTTTATTTTGTGCCCCATTTTTGTGGAACAACCTCCCTCAAGATATTAGGCAGGCAAGTTAAAGACTTACATGTTCACCATATCTTATGTGTCTTATGTGTCTTTAAATTGTTGTCAGCTTTTAAATTGTATTGCTTTTATTTATTTATCTTTTTATCTTCAAATAACTGTTCAGCACTTTGTTTGATAGCGCTTTATAAATAAAGTTGTTGTTAATAATGACAATAATGGATCGCATTTATATAGCGCTTTTCTGTTGTTATTGTTGTTGCTGTTCCTAGGACTGCGCTCTTCTGGACAGAGATCTCCGATGTTGTTCCTGGGATCTGCTGGAGCCACTCGCTTAGCTTGGGAGTCACTGCACCGAGTGCTCCAATTACCACGGGGACCACCGTCACCTTCACCGTCCACATCTTCTCAAGCCCTTGGTACTCCTCCAGCTTCTTGTGTTCCCTCTTCCTGATGTCGTTGTTATTCAGTATCACTACATCGATCACTACGGCCGTCTTCCTCTGCTTGTCTGCCACCACTATGTCCGGTTGGTTAGCCATCACCAGGTGGACTGGTTAGTCCGTCTGTATCTGGAAGTCCCACAGGATCTTAGCTCGGTCATTCTCCACCACCCTTGGGCGCGTGTCCTATTTTAACCTCAGGACTTCCATTTTTTTGTCACATATAACTAACTATGACTATAGATGGTTTATATAAAGCTGAGGGTCCATACTTCAGCACTTCAGTCTCATTTCAGTCCCTCTGTTCTATATTAGTGTTGGACAGAGACAGAATTACTATTCAAATACTTATCGAACCATTTTTTAAAACACACACACACACACACACACACACACACACACACACACAATTCATGCTTTTAAAAATCCACTAATATGACAAGATACACTTGAACCCACACACTGCTGTAACGTGCTCTCAGCTACACTCTTACACTATTACAAAAACATTTGGGTGCTTAAACACACACACACACACTCACACACACACAGTACCTGTCTATACCTGTAACACAAAAACACACATAACCCTCTTCAGGCTCATCCACCTCCATTTGCCTCAGACACATCACAGGTAGGCCAGTGAGTGATGGAGAAGTGGGCTGAAACAGCCAGTGGGCTTAAAAAGAAAAACACTGAGGAAAGAAAAAGACGAGAGGAGCCGAGATTACAGCAAAATAAAGCAGAAGATCGATGAGAGACGGCTTTACGTTTGAGACCTGTGTCGCCCTTCTCCTGCTCTTGTAACCATCGTGAAATCCTCTTTCCCCCAGCGTCAGTATTTTGTTAGAAAGTACAGCAATAAACTGCTGTTAAAGTCCTAAAATGAACAGTATGACACAGCACTGTCCAGTGTAAGCCCACACCACAGTTTGTCAGAGTGGAAAAGAAGAGGAGAGAGTAAAAACCACATCGGTGTAACTAAGCACTGCTCACAATTATCCTTCATTTAAAACGGTGACATATGCAGTGTTTTGGCTGCTGCCACTCAAGGATCAGTTAACTGAGAGTTAATCATGAACTGTTTACTTGTAAATGTCACGACCATCAGACTGCAAATGAATTCAACTAAATCTTCATTTACACAATCATGAAATGCACACTATGCATAATGTATCATATGACTGGTTATTATATGGTATTAAAGCTTCCATTGTAAAAGAACATCATACACTGCAGTGTTGAAGTCTTCTGCTGACACAAAGCTATCCCAGAAATCCTGCCTGTATCAGAGACCGGAGGTTTACACTCTTATTGTGACTTTATTTCATTATCAACTAATCCCATAATATAGGAAACCCAACCTAGTTACCATGCTAACAATCACCGGGGTAGTTAAAGGTGATTGTTATCACCACCGTCATTGTTTCATTGTTGGTTCTACTGAAGAACTAACAACGTTTCATAATCATCATTATAGCTACAAAGTTATAACTTTAGCACAGCTCCGGGTTTCCAAATATTATAAAAAGCCTGAAAGATTGTGGCTTACCTCATTGATGAGAAACTGCAGCTGAAGAACAGCAGCTCCGCTCTCATGCTGACAGTAGCAGTCCACCCCAGGTCGGCCCAGTCTGGTGACACCACAGAGTCAAGGAAGAGCACCAAGTTTCTGTGGGTGTGCAGTGAGTGCAGGCAGATAGGACATCCAATCAGTACATAAGCATGGAGCAGATATGATGATGAGCCAAACCTTCAGGTTTATTTACAGACACAACAACAGCAAACGTTTAACTGCTGCGCTGCTGCACAGTCTGAGGTGCAACACAGAATAAAGGGCTTCAGGCTGACAGTTGTCCCTGTTCCTGGTGGTGTGTGCAGTGTGAAACTGTTGTTTTGTTGTTTACTTGAAAACGTATCTAAAGAAAATGTGGCTGCACAGCAGCTGAACGACAGAACATCACCACAGCACAGGCAGATGGTGCAACGTCAGATCCAGTTATACGGGACGACTGGATGTGAACGAAGATGTGCACTGTAATCTCTGCTGGTTGCTGACAAACTGTACCTCTCTCACCTTGGAGCACCCAGGTTCACAGGGAAACAACATTCAGAAACAGTGTTTTTATTAGTGTGTGGTGCCGTCTATGCATCACAAAAAGACGCCGTTCAGCGTCTTCATGCTGTCAGAAATAACCCTGTCGAGCCCATTATTATTATTTTTAGCAGTTTTTCTTAGGAAGCACTTCTCCTGTGTGAGCTAGTTAGTTAATAGTCGGTATAATGGTTGGGTACAACACTACTGTTTCCTTACGGCTTGTTTAGGAAACAGGTACGCTCACCAGAGGAAGTCAAATCCCTGAGAACATCCTTCAAAGCAGGTGGAAACCAGCAGGAGGCAGAAATGACACAACGTGGAAACAGAGCCAGTTGGATGAGAACTACAAGCAGTTATTCAATCACTACAGTTTGTTCAGTTTGTGTCAGCACACCGCAGTGCAGCTGAGAAACAAGCAGCCCTGCAACGACTCTCATACGTCTGCAGACATGCAGTCAGAGTGCCACGACTGTCATTCTTATCAAGCAAGAACTGAAAACAAAGAATCTATTGGACAAAATATTTACTGCTGAAGTTTGAGTCAGCGGAGAGGTTTTCACGTTTTCAACCAACACAGCTCGTTTGCAGTTTCTCTGCTGCACGCAGCGTTAGCTCTGCTGCGATTTCACGTGCACATGAGCTGTAATGTCTCATTACAAAACCTGTGCTATGATGTGCCCGGCTATTTTGCTCTACCCTTCTCCCTAAAGAGATTTCTGTCCACCTTGTTTAGCGTCAGTGGCTGCCCATGACACCTCGCAAACAGCTCGGGGCAAGGTGATTGTCTGAGCCATAATCAAATATGTGTTCATCTGGTTAACAGCACAGCGAAAAAAAGAAAATGACAGTATGTGTAAACGCTGTGAGTGGAAAGAGCGATCAGAGATAAGGGTTCAGTATTAATGAAACCCAGAGAGAGGAATCACAGAGAGCAGGAGACTGAAGAACGATTTAACGTGCACGAGGAAGAAAAGCAGACTTAATTACGCTTATTTCAGCGCTCCGCTGTGAACGAGTGGACAGCAGATCCAGTTATAAATCCTTCAGTTACCAGTAACACCATCCACACGTGGCTTTGGGATAATGCTTCAGCTGGCAGACGTACTGATAGCATGCACAGTGAGTACGCTCCATGTCAATTTCACAATGTCCTCTGAAAGCAGCAGGGCAGAACCACCCAGACAGTCCCTTTATACAGACTCATCTACAGCAGCCGTGGAGCCGATACGGCGAATCGTTGAACCAGGGAGCAGAAATCAGCTGCACTGGGAAGGAACGACTCGGTTTATGGTTCAAAAGGCCGGCTGTGGCTTTGGGCTAAAGCCAACTTTAGTTATGAACATTTACTTATTCTATACATGCGTGCAACAGCCTTATATAGAAAACTAGCATATATGCTAACATTTGATGTATTATTGTCTGTAAAACCTTAGTACCAGAATATTTAGGTTCCTGTGATTATCATTGACAATAATCACAAACACTGTTTATTAAAACATTAAACGTTTCTTATAGTGTGTTAAGAAACGTATGAGTTGGACCACAGAGTGTTTTTATGAGCGTCTGGTGCAAGGTTATTATCGTTAATGAAAACTAACGAAATAACGAAAACTAGAAGTGAAAAAACATTTTCGTTAACGGAAAAAAAAATAAAAACAAAAAAAGGAAAACTAACTAAAACTATAATGAGTGTTCACAAA